CCTCTGTGTAGATAACGTTGACAACATGCATAAACAGAAGTCCTAACTCAACCATGGTTGTTGCAGCAGTGAAAAGAAACTGGCAGGAGTAATGATAGCATGCAGACTTGAAATTAAAATGAATGAAACAACAATGAAAATGCATAATGTAAGAAAGCAACCAACATGGTGTGAGGCTGTAGGCAACTGGCTATGCATGTTTTTACACAACATATTTTTATCACCAATTTCTATTTTTTAAAAGTAAACAAAGTAATATGGGACAGCCATGCTTGTTTCTCGAAATGCAAAGCTAACTTAAATGCAGGGTAAAACAATGGTCACAGCTAATTTTATTCTCATGAAAAAGAGTTAACAATAATTATTTTCTCAAAAGAAAATTTGAAAGTGGCCTTGTGGAATTTTTTGGCACTGTGTAACGTCAATAAGGATGTTAGCACTAAACATGCAATCACATTATAGAAAAAAATGATCAGGTTTATCAGGTGCAAATGGCAAGATTTGAATGGAAATGCAAAATTGTTCTAAACAGGACTATCACATATTTTACAGTAGCTAAGCCCTACTTAAGCATGAAAAGGAGCCAGAAAACAACAGCAAATCACGGTTTATAAAGTGCAGATGGAGACTAAAAAAAGTTAAATAACATGTGTGCTGGATGGTGGGAATGTCCATTGGCACTTTGCAGCAGGTGTTGCCTCTTCTAGTCTCGATGGCAAAATATGCCCTTCTGTTAGATCCTCCTTGGATGGGAGGAGCGATTGTCCTTCCCTAATGCTACTACATGGAGCAAAAAAAAGTAGTTAGGCAACATCTTATGATTTAAGAATGGAAATAGAAAATGTTAAAGAATAACATGGCTGATGTGCTCTTTTTAAAAAGAAGTTGGGAGGCTGATTCCCGGGCAGAGGAGCAAGATGGTGACATGAGTTTTAGATTATGCAGCTAAGCAATTGTTTATGTAAGAGCGATAACAAGAAGCAATGGTTTAAACATAAGAGACAAAAAATGTTCCAATTAGCATATGAAACATTGAGCTTGCTTGATTTCGAGCTGATAAGAAAGAGCTCACGAGAAAGCTTGTCAGTGGAACATCTCTTCTTTCTTTTTTTAATACAAACAAAAAAGACTTAAAATGATTCCTTATAAAATTATCTTATGTTTTATGATAATTCCTCATAAAATAACAGTCAACCTTCTCACCTCTTATGTCGAATCCATGTCAAATCTCTAGACACATGAGAAATCTAAGGGTCAAAGCGAAATGGTGAAAATGCTTAATCAACAGACTCAATCTCTCCCCCATTCTAATTCCTTTTTTTTTTTCCTGTAATTTATCCTCAGTGAAAAGAGTCAACAACCATTTTTTCTCTCTTCCCCCAAAACATAAAGCAACCACAGTGTGCGCAACAAAGGTTGAATCCTACATTTTTGGTTGCAGAGATAATAAAGATGAAATAAGCATATTATATACAAACAGAAAGGAAAATGTATGGATATACATACATATATACATAAGACATCATCCGTTGGAGTTGTTTCAAAGCATTAAATCATAAAAGAAATCGTGGTCAACTTCAAAGCCATAAAGCTTCAATCCTAGCTAGAGCATAAAATCTGAAATTTTTGTTTAACAACATGGCACATTGCTAGCCAAAATATAAGCAAATTATTCGATGGTTGGTGTTGACCTTACTAAATAAGAATGAATTAACTGTGAGATATAAGATGATCTATTTTTTATTTTTTATGAAAGTTAGCATGGAGGGCTTGTTGCAAAGTACATAAAGAAAAGGTAAAAAACTAAAATGGTCATGACATGAGAGAAATATTGGTTTAGACATCAAAGCTCTAATCTGTGTTCTGCATTTTTCCTTCTGGTTTACCAAATGCAAAACCAAGTCCTCATGATATGATCATAAAAGAAGAGACTTTCAGGATCGATTACCAACCAATATCAATGCAAGAAATTCAAATCACAAATGAACTAAAACCCATCAAATTTTAACCATAATATTTGTAAATTAATAAAAAATTAAATCATACCACAAACCCTTTTAGAGATCTCTAAAAGCCTATCAGGTGCTTTCTATAGAAAATTTTTCTATGCAAAGCCATTTTTTTTTTAATTCTTTTCCCTCTAAAGTTCTAACAGAATCAATCAACTACATAATTGAACCCATATTGCACTAAGAACAAAACATTCCTCAAATAAGCTCAAGAAACCCAAATAACTGTTTGCATAAAACAATAGTGTCTGTTGAGGACCTAGAGAAAACATGAATTTTGCTAGGTTTTTAAGAAACCCCTTATGGGGGTTACTGTTATTTTTGTCTTCCATTTCACACTTTGTCTCTCTCTACCTTTGTGTCTGAGGAAGATTGAGACTTTGCTTTCATTCAACAAGCTTTGATAGCTAGAGATAATATTCTCTTTCTTTTTTCTAAAAACAAATAAGAGAAAGACAGTCAGAGAGTTAGCAATGGTGGAGGTTGTTGGTGTTGACAATGATATTGCCAAGGAACAAAGCATGGTCAATACATGAGAGAAATATTTGGTTTAGACATCAAACTCTTTCTATAGCTTTTCTAGAATCTCCTTATCTCTAGCAAATTTGGTATGGATATCAACCATTTGTGTAAAAAACACAACATAACGATAACAACATTTACCAAACATCTAAATAGTTTCACAAAATCTAACTGATATGTTCAGGAAAAGAACCATGAGAATACCAGAAACTATCACAAACATTAGTATGGAAGCCAAAACTTTAGCCCCTAGTACAAAATGTCTTGTATATTACCCCAAAATCCAAAACAGAAGGCCTTCAAATAATAAAAATGTATAGGAAACTTCACTTAACCCTTAAAGATGTAAGCAAAAGAAGTAAATTCAAATGGCAAGCAATTAACCATCTACTAATCATAGGATATATAACAGCAAGGCACCAGGTTTTGTCATCTCCCTCCAAGATGCATATGCGATGACAGCAACACAGCGACGGTAATCTAGTTTCTCCTTTTAGTCTTGTAAATTTACCATAATTTGGTCTCTTCTTGTAGCCCAAAAAAAGATCTAATAATGTCTTCTTGTAAACAAAGCAACAATTCCCTGGCCACATAAAATTCAAGAAAGTAAAAGAACCAATTAAACCCAAATAACCATTTAAAAATACATAAGCCATGTCAACCAACAATCAATGAAGTTAAAATGGCTAAAAACCTAAAAAAAATGATTGTTTTAATAAAAAAAAAAACAAACCCTTGAAATTTACCATGGAGCTACTTGACCTGAACTGGAGGATATTGGGTTGACTCTTAAAGTAATTAGAGATGAAGATGGTTTGAAGCTTGGTGCTGAAAAAAATGCAATCTCAAAGAAATCATATGAAAGAAGTAAGGAATGGAAAGCTAGGTTAACACCTATAGATTGCTCCAAATCTAGAATAGAACACCCAAGCAAACACACCTCGAACAATGAACATTCTCAAAAGAGCCAGAGGGGTATGATGTTGATTTGTGGCAAGGACAGAAGTCATGGCACTGATTCCTTGTTATAAAGCAAATTGAATCTAATTTTTATGGCCATCTTTGGGAGCAAAAAACATTGTTTGTATATCCAAAGGAAAAAGATAAGATGAGCTAGCAAAACCATAGCTAACATCCAGAACTTGAACAACCCCAGCTGAACATGGATCACATGTATCATTAGTTACCATATTTCCTAACCTGTATCATTAGAGATGAAACATTATAGTGCTTGAGTTTTGGAAACATCATCAATTACTGGTATCATTGCCACTGTATTAAATGATAAACTAACCAGTTCAAAAGTGAATAAGTGATATAAGAAACTTAAGTTCATCAGCTGCTCCATGCTTGAAATGAGTGCCACCACCAGGGAACCATTATAGCTAATCTTTCTCATGCACCCAATTTGTCCTCCTTTGACTTCAATAAGACGTGTATGATTCACATTGCTTCTCCATACACAATCCCTGCTAGTTGGCCATTTACGAGCAATCTATAATCTTCTAGAGGTAGCACCAAGTAAAATAAACGCTTCTCAAGTGGAGGATAATGCCTCTTTAGCCCTTCTCTTTTAGAAAAATCCAAGGATGGGAACAAAATTTTCACATAAGAAACATCATGGCAAGGGAAAAAAAGAAGAGGGAAGATAAATAAAAGCATAAAAAGATGAATTAACCTTCTTTGGAAACCACTTCAAAGCAATGAAGTTAAGAGATTTAGGGATAAGAGCTAAAAACCTTGCAAAGATAGAGCAATAGAATCACATAAAAATCCACACTTCAAAAGCAAAAGAGATCAAGAAAAAAAAAAGATAAAAATCTCACCTGCCAATCGATATCCATTACAAACCCCTTCCTCAATCTCATGGCCTTCACCCAACCTACACCATGCTTATATGTTATAAAGGAGAAAAAGTCTGGGATAAAGCTTCTGGGTTTCATTTGAAAGCTTGTCTGGAGCTTGGGAGTTTAAGGTCTAATGTTATTAACAGGAATGATAATGAGATTATTGCTTTTTTTTTCAAAGGCTTCTTTGGGAGCCACAAAGGCATTGGAGTCGAAATTACGATTCTCAATTGAAATTCTATTCGCCAAAAGATGGTGGTAAAATTATAATATTTAATATAAAAACTTTTTATTCGTTAATTAAAATAACAATATTGTAGTGATAACTTAATAAGTGAAGAAAATAATTAGACTAATTTTTTCAAAATAGTATTTTAAAAAGTATAAATTCACTATAGCTTCCCCTCTCCATTGGCCCTGTTCAACATCACAATTATCAGATCATTAAACTGAGACTCAATCATACTTCTACAGAATCTAACCTAAAAAAAAAAAAAAAACCCTAAAACTCTTGAACCATTTCTCAATGGGCAGTGATGGAAAACGGAAGAAACGAGGCCGCAAATCTAAAACCCAAACAACCCTAGATCCCACGACACCCACCTTAAACGACGAAGTTTTCTCCGTCAACAATGTCGAAATTGTGAATTCCACCACCCCAACCAGCGCCAATCACCCCGAAAACCGCCGCGGCCGCCCTAAGAAGCGACCAAAGCACTCACCAGAGAAGCCCCCGCCATTAACTAATGGGGAAATTGGGGTCGCCACACCGGTGGAAGGCGTGGCGAGGGTGTTGCCGGCGATGGATGCGGTGGTAAAGGTGTTTTGTGTGCATACGGAGCCGAATTTCTCGCTTCCGTGGCAGAGGAAGAGGCAGTATAGTTCGAGTAGTAGTGGGTTTGTTATTCGAGGGAGGAGGGTTTTGACTAATGCGCATTCTGTGGAGCATTATACACAGGTTAAGCTTAAGAAGCGTGGTTCTGATACTAAGTATTTGGCTACTGTTCTTGCTATTGGAACTGAATGTGATATTGGTAAAGATTCAAGCTTTTCATGTTGTATAAGTAAATATTCTTGTCATTAGGCTCATGCTGTTTACTATATCCTGTGTTAAAAGTGGTTTGTAATGCACATTGAAGAAAGCAAGTATCTTAGTGTGATTAGGGCATATTTTCGAGGAATATATGCACTTGATCAATTTTTAGTTTTGTTGATTCTAAACTTTTTTTCTGTTTGATGAGTTGGGTTTTTTTTGCATCTTACGTTCTTGCATCGAATGCAAAATGTCAGCTTTTATAGGCAAGGATAACTTGTATGTGCATTTTTTTTTTGGAATGGTGTAATTATTCAATTTCTGTTTAGATGTGAAACAGTGACTGTGATGCGCGAGGAAAGTTCGTACAAGTTTCGTTGGAGGCAATTAGGGATTTAGGTAATTATATGTTAGGACAAGAGATGATCCCACAAGTAGTCAAGCTTTCCTGTGGTAAGGGAATGGGTGTGATGATAAGAAAATTGTAGAAGTAGATCTAGCAGGTCATGTTAATTAGATTTGTAGTTCTCTTATGACGGAACAAGGTTGATTAAGTTTATATACCTTGCTGAATGCATAGGATAAAACATTTTGCTCAATGCAAAATTTCCTTTTGTGATTTGCAGCCTTGCTAACAGTCAATGATGATGAGTTCTGGGAAGGGGTATCACCTGTTGAGTTTGGAGAATTGCCTGCTCTTCAAGATGCTGTCACTGTTGTTGGTTACCCAATCGGAGGGGACACAATTTCTGTGACAAGTGGTGTTGTATCACGGATAGAGATCCTATCTTATGTCCATGGATCCACAGAGCTTTTGGGTTTGCAAGTAACATTGTTGAAACTCTTGCATTTTGTTTTTTTGTAATTATTGAACTACTGCCCTTACACACCTTTCTCATGGTTTCATTTGTAGATAGATGCTGCTATAAACTCAGGAAATTCTGGAGGACCTGCCTTTAATGATAAAGGTCAATGTGTGGGCATTGCATTTCAGTCCCTTAAACATGAAGATGCTGAGAATATAGGGTATGTTATACCAACACCGGTCATCAAGCACTTCATCCAAGATTATGAGAAGAATGGAGCATACACAGGTTAACTGTTGTGACATATTTGGTCCTGGCTTTGTATACAAATTTATATATGCTGTGTAATTAAGTTGCTTTGTGTATATTTTAGTAGTGTCACATTGCTTACTGATCCTGGTTAAAGTTGATGATCATCCCTTACATGCTAGGATTTCCATTTCTTGGGATTGAATGGCAGAAGATGGAAAATCCAGATTTGCGTATGGCAATGGGTATGAAACCTGATCAGAAGGGTGTTCGTATCAGAAGAGTTGATCCCACTGCTCTAGAATCTGAAGTCTTGCAGCCATCAGACATTATTCTCAGCTTTGATGGGGTAGATATTGCTAATGATGGAACAGGTTCGTGTACAAGTTCTTATGCTCAGAACAGACACCTGAAGCTTTGTTAGGAACTGGTAGTATACAAAGGTGATTCATGCAGCATTCTCTTTGGCATGAAATTTCACCCCCATTTATTGACATTTCAGTTCCCTTTCGGCATGGTGAGCGCATTGGCTTCAGCTATCTTATCTCTCAAAAGTATACTGGGGATAATGCAGCAATCAAAGTTTTTCGGAATTCTAAGACTCTAGAATTTGTCATCAAACTCTCAACTCACAGAAGGCTAATTCCTCCACATGTGAAGGGAAAACCTCCATCCTATTATATCATTGCAGGATTTGTATTCACGACAGTTTCTGTTCCTTATCTTCGTTCTGAGGTGCATATTTCACTTTTCCTTTTCCTTTTTTCCTATACTTTTTCTTGATATTCCCAATGACTTCTCCTATTATTAGTTAGTTAAATTATTGTGATGAAATCTTAAATGCTTCCATTTTTAATTGGTGCTCAGTGAAGCGAGTGATTGATTCTTTTTGTACATGACGCTATGGCTGTGCTATATTGATTTTATTTCTTGACTATGGTACTTCTGCGTGTTGTATGCTTTATGTGCTAGGGACAAGGCCCATTAAACTTTCTTCTCGTTCTTTTGTGCAAGTTTTCATGTATTTGTTGGTGCAAATGCTTTAACTCAGAGGTTATGGTTTATGTAGCACTGCATAATCTAATTTGTATTATTGTCATTGAGTCTTTGCCCATTCTTGTCAGTAGGTGTATTAACTTATTAACTTATTTCTATCAACCAACACCATGGTTCTTGTTGGCTCTTGGAACTTGGGATGATAGGATATTAAACTTGCACCACATCCTAAAACATTAGAGACAGGATTTTAGAAGTACAAGGACTCAATTTTAATAGTACTAAAACTTTGGGCATCACCCTGTTATTGAAGCTGAGCTCTAGACTTACTAAACCTGTTCACCTAATGAACTTGTGCTAATGTGTAACTGAATCCCCAAACCCAGGACTTAGTGTAATGGATTTTCATCTAATCAGGTCACTGGTGAGTTCCATCATACTTTCCTGGATTTGTCTTTTGGTTCTGCTTTCCTTTTGTAACTTTCCATTGTAACCTGGGATTGAAAACATTAATTGTAATTAGAATGGATTACTGTTGTAGTAATGCTTCTACCTTTTGCTAGCCATTGTTCTTATAGCTTGTTCTGAGGGTTGCAGTATACAGATTCCTGTTTATTGTTTTCAACAAAAGTATCTAGTTTCACTCACCGAACCTTTATTTCTGTAGCTTGCATTTGCGTGTTTACCTATTCCAACATCATTCTCCATGCCTATGTCTTTGCCATATTCTGAACTTAATTTTATGGACATTGAAGAGCAAAATAATTACATTTATATTAGCCTCATTTATTTATTCAATCTTTCACGCCTTGCCATTTGCAGCTTCAGTTTAATGCCAACTCTCTCTCTCTCTCTCTCTCTCACACACACACACTCAGTTTAATGCAATACTTAACATCATATGTACTTTCATGGTTAACTGATTTTACATCACCCCTGTTCTTTTTTGCATAATTGTGCAGTATGGCAAAGAATATGAATTTGAAGCTCCTGTCAAACTTTTGGACAAACTTTTGCATTCAATGCCACAATCCCCAGATGAACAGCTGGTTGTGGTTTCTCAGGTCTCTCTCACACCCGCACACATGTCAGTTCATATGACTGCTATTCTACTCTGCTGACATTGCACTTTAACTCTTTTTTTTCCTGGAAAATTTCCGACATTGCACTTTTAACTCTTTTTTTTCCTGGAAAATTTCTGGCAGGTGCTTGTGGCTGACATTAATATTGGGTATGAGGACATCGTTAACACTCAGGTGAGGAATGGCAGTCATGTAACCGGTGTTTTTTATTTCTGTCATTGAGTTGGTACAGCCTGTCTATGATTTCACCTATTTTTTTGGTGAACTACCTCTCGTTTCATGTAATTTATTCTATACCTATGCAGGTTCTTGCTTTCAATGGTAAGCCAGTGAAGAATTTGAAGAGCTTGGCTAGCATGGTCGAGAATTGTGACGATGAGTTTCTGAAATTTGATCTAGAATATGACCAGGTCCTCTCTATCTCTCTCTCTCAAAGGGTGTTTGACTGTGTGTGTGTTTGCATGCTCTTCAAGCATTTGCATTCCTGCTATATTTACTAGTTCTCTGTCTGTGGGTGTCTGGTGCTGATATTTTTTCCTGTGCTTTGGTGCAGATAGTTGTTCTCCGGATGAAGACCGCTAAGGAAGCTACTGTAGATATTCTTACTACACACTGCATACCTTCTGCAATTTCTGATGATCTTAAGCCATGAATTTGGGTCTTAGTCTAGGTACATTGCGATATTCTTGTTAGGGCCAAGCTACTCCCCTTTCTTTACCTTCATCAAGATGGGGTGGGTTGGGGTTGTGGTTGTGGTGGGGGATAATTTATAAAATTGAGGGTGGACTTGTTAGTTTTTACTTTCTTAGATGCAACTTTCCTATATGGTGTTGAGGGTTGAGTCTTTTTAGCTAGCATAATGAGGAAAACTTGCAGTGTCTATTATTGGCAGCTGTGTTCTTTCCTTTACCTGATACAAGTTTTGGAGAATCTATCAGGGTCTGTTTCGTTTCATTGTTTTTCTGTTGCTGTACTATCAGCAAAGAGTTTTTAACTTATGAATGTTAAAATTCCTATATATTGAGAATTTGCAAATTGATAATACCGTGCGAGTGAATTTTCCATCTCCAAGGAAAACTACTTTGATCCCCTATTAGAAAAATTCCAAACTCTCCCTCTGTGCTTCAACT